CCGCATAAAAAAATTCTAAAGTTAATAGGTTATGTGATCGAGGTGGCCCATGCATAATTATGATTAGTGTTGCACAAGAGTCTTGAAAAAGTCTTGCAAGACCAAGACTCTTGCAAGAAATACAAGACAAGACTTTGAAAATTTCTTGTCTTGAATTTCAAGACAAGACAAGAAATTGGTTTTCAAGACAAGAATTCTTGTCTTGTGCAACACTAATTATGATATAAATAATTTTTAACATTTCTTTCATTATGGGAGGTGGGGGGTAGTGTGTCATAATAAAAGTCATGTTGGAACCACTCTATCTACAACTTTTATCTGAAAACATTTTGTCTAAAATAGCTCATAATGGAATTAGGGACAATTTTTAAAATAGCCGAAATTTGTTTTTTTCGAAATATCTAGTAAGCCATGAACTTTTTCAAAAATATGAAAGGCGCATATTTATGACCCCACAAAACTGCAATTCTTTCCCAATTTAACCGACTCTCTATCTCCAGTAGTTTCCGAGATACCCATAGAGAACATCGTAGAAAACTCACCCTGTATATTCCCATTTTCCCAACAGAATCTGCATTCGTCGTTGTTTCTTAGCTTTAATCTACTGAGGTGTTCATTGAGGAGAGCTTCCTGTTACAAACCCCGTGACAACCCGAAGATTGTTCCTTTTTAATTCGAAGAAAATCTTTGATTTTTCTCGGTCGTTAAGTCCTGAGAAAGTTACGAGTGCCCGTTCGAGACCTTTGCAGGATTCCCATTCCAGGTTATGGTTGGAGTCTTCCAAATGCTTGAGTTCCGTTTTGAGTTGGCTTCCACTCGGGAGGCAGAACGGTTCTGGTACAGTTAAAGGAGTGTTCGCTCCTTGTCTAGCGTTTGCTTTTTCATTACCTTCTTTCTATCCCTTGGTGGGCTGGCACTCAGAGTAGAGGACTTTATTTAATTTGCCTAATTTGTTCAGCTTCTTGACTAATTTTCCATGTTATAATTATTTAAAATAATTTATAACTCGTGTTGACTGCTATTTGAAGTCCCTGCAGCATTTTGTTTAACTGGGTTTTTATTAGGGTTCGAATTTTATTTCGTTAGATTCTGTGATGTTTTGAAAAACTTTAATATCTCTCCTCCATTTTTTGTCATCATATTTTTTTGATAACTATTATAATATGTAAAAAATGCAATCGTTAAACTAAATAAATAAATGTCCAAAATTGAACGTTTTACATAAAACAACAAATTATCCCGCCTAGAAAAAAAATCATTAGAATACTTAAAAAAGCCTTGCCGGTGTTCAATTTAAGTAGTTATTTAAATCAAGTATAGTCCCAATCGATACCAATCTTCTTCTTCTTGTTCTATTATACGAAACAATGGGGTTATTTGGTCGAATTAATTCGTTGCCGGTCGTGGCCGCAGGACGGTAGCGGCATGATTGCTTGCGCCACGGCCAACTACCGATAATTGCACATTGCCCGACGACCGTCTCTCCGTTCTTCTTTTGTTTTTGAGCAAAGGGGGCGGAGGGGTTGTGGCAGCAGCAGTAGCGAGTCATTTAATTTGGAAGGAGAAAATTGAGGCCGCACGAAAAAGGCGAATTTTTGATGATGATGCGGCCGGCCGGCCGGCGCATCCCGACACGCTCTTTAAATTGAGGGACTGGGGGCGGCGCAGGATGCCACTTAAATTGCCGCCGCCGAGAAGAGAAATTTAAATTGCGCTTTTGATAGCCACCCATCCATCTACATCACTGCTAGACGCAAAAATTCGATAGCCAAGGGTTTTTCTTAATTCATTTATGTTTTTTAATATATCTAAATAATTCTTCCTATCTCGGACACATACATCTCTCACTCTCTCTGTCTTTATTTCTGAATGTAGTGGTCAAGTAATGTGTGTGTAGTTTGTCTTCCCTGTCTTGTGCTTCATGATGAGCGGTCTCTTGGTATTTTTCTTGCAACCTGGCTCTGTCTTTCCAACCAATCAACATCCCTCCTCATTACGTGACCGAGATATTTAACATTATTTAAGTCCGTGGTTTTATAGAAGTTGAAAGATGTTCTGTGATATTCAGTTTTTGGATTATGGATTCAGTGGTCATCATCTGAAGATGTGAAGATCAACAGCCCTTTTAGGGACAAAACAAACCTAACTTACTAGATAGGTAGCCATCTTGCTAAAAGAACTGCTAAATGAGATAAATAGTGTGGGACAACAGTACGGGCCACATATTAACGCTTTAAAAACAAAGACCATGATGATTAGTAGACAAATCCAAAATATTACCTTCACCGTAAGCGGCGAATATAGGTGGATAGGTTTAAGTGTGTCGGTTCTGTTGTCAACAACAAGTGGGACTGCGACGAGGAAATTAAAATTCGAATCGGCATATGGCCAAAAAAAAATGTTTCGAAGGCTTAGAACATCTTATCACTGAGTTGGTAATTATTAATGGGTTTTAAATTGGTAATAATTAATTGCTCTCTATAAAATATTCTTAGATACTGGCTTTTGTCAATAAATAAATGCCTTTATTGTCAAAAATTTTTACAATTTGTAAATAAACAGAATAATAAAATAAATAACAGTCTTATTGTTTCAAATAAATATTTATAAATGTTTACAATGTCAAAGAATAGAAAAATAAAAATAAGATTCGAAAATATTTAGTAAGTTTATGGTAAATAATATAGGAATAGCAAATATTAGACCAGTGTTTACAAGATCAAATTCTATTATCAAATTATAAGTCATTTACGGCGTAGAAAGCCTTCTCTAGTAAATAAGATTTCAATGCTTTGCGAAATGAAGAAAATGATATTATGGATTTGATTTCAAATGACAGGTGATTGAGGCATTTTTTTCGAGTTGTATAATATTGAAATTTAAACTAACTCTGAGTGTGGGGTAGGTAGATAAAGATCTTGCTCCGCGTTCCTGAGTGGATGCTGATAAATACTTACATATTAGGCAAACGGATTCAAATATAAATAAGGAAGGAAAAGTTAATATTGTTAATTTTTTAAAAAAGTCCTGGTAATGAGTTCTGCTGTTTAGTTCCAGTGAATATCGAACAGTTCTCTTCTGGAGCTTGAAAATGCGGCCAAATTGAGTCCCACTATATATGATGAGTTATACTCAAGAAAGAGGGACACAAGAGATATATAAGGTCTAACGGTGATAGCTGCATTTTGACCTACATCTACATCTACATTATCAGTCAGAGGTATCACTGATTGATATCAAGTGTGAACTAATCTCAATTCTAAAACTACCGAGCTTAGCATACGGTACCAAGGCATTGTATGAGTTGGGAGCAGTCAAGCAGGATGTTGTGCACTGACAACTCTAGCATTGTTACGTTATATAAGTAGTTGCCATATTGTCCAAATTTCCATACTTTAAGTCTAAGATTTCTATCGTTAAGAGTGAGAGCATCTTCCTCAGGTTGACGCATCAATTATAATATTAATATTATCAAAGGTCTTCTCATAGCCATTGTGAAGCAAATCCATTTTAATAAAATCATCTTTGGATTGTTTTTCATTTAAACGAGAAAACCCTGTTATGAGTCATATATTGGAACTGACGGGAATTGTAGTCACTATTTATAGTGGTGTGCCATGGAGTGCAGTTCTAAAGTTTCTAAAAATAGAATTTAATTCAAATTATCGGCAGCAAAAATTATCATACCATTGCCTATTCGAAAGAAAAAACATAAACCTGATAGAATCTGCGAACCCGCTAAACAGTTCATTTCTATGTTAAACATCTAGTCTAGCTGTAGTTAACACTTAAAGTTGTTAATATCAATGAATGAAGTTCCAGCTGATTACAGAAAAGCCCAATATAATTAAAATGATTTTTTTAACCATTCAAAAAGTGTTCAATTTGAGTATATTAGTACTTATAATTATTATAAGACAGACATTTATACACCAAATTAAACTAAATTTGATGATATATACTTACTTTAAATATTCTAGAAAAAATGTTTATCTTGCTCTATTATAAACATTAATCAACATTCTACAAAACTGAATTCTTTCTTATCCATGCTATTTAAAGATTCCTGCAGAAATTGTTTTGAGACTAAACTTCTCCTTTGTTGAGTTGATGTAAATTTATGTTAAATGGTCTGCACGTCCGCAGCGTTTTCTGATATAATAGAAGAACACGAAAAAGATTAGGATCGATTAAGAATATAACTGATTTGAATAATTTTTCAAATTGGCTAACCCTGTATCTACCAGAGATGCTATGATATCATACTATTATACATCATGATTATTGAGCATTATTTTTACAGATATTATTTTTGGGTAGTAATTTAATCTCACTTTAGTCATAATTTTAATTCATATCCCACCACGGTCATCGCCTCGTTACTTGACTGCAGACCTGAGTCTTAGTCTGTTTAGTCATTCAAAAGATCCTCGGTGTTCTTCACTGCATAATTATTAAAAACTTTTTATATAGCGATTTAATATAAGTTAAGCTTAATATAAGTAAAGTCCTGTAAATGTTTTTTTCTAATATACAAATTATGTTAAGTCACTCAAAAAAATGTTGGTATAATTTATTTAAAAAACTGTTTTACATTTCGTTTAAGTTCAAAATAAGTTGTTCATCTACCAAATATTATAATCACAGATTTAAAAATAACCGAGTAATGAACAAATAACTTAAAAAATGAACTCTAAATTCGTTTTTCTCAAAACTATGTTTTGTGACTTAATATAGTTTGCTTCTGGGGTACATATATGTAAGTTGATTTACACCAGCCAAGATGCAGATAACAAAATGAATAAAAATATTTCACTGGCAGTACTTTTTATAGCAATTACCTATAGATATTAATATCTATAGGAATTATAGATATTACAATATTCTAGACATTATCGCGTTCATACATATATCTCTGCATGTATTAACAGTTGCTTATATTTAATCTAAATCTCATTATGCTAAAACACCTTAGTTACATATGTTAATTTTTGTTTCAGGGAAACCTAATGGATCTACGCGCAAAGGCTGAAACTTTCTAAACTTGGAAGTGAATCGATCCATCCATTTTTATCTGTGAAGGCTGTACGTATAGAACATATCCGTCCATTGATATAGTGAGGCTTTAGCGATTATTAGAAACAAACAAAAATGGACTTGTATACAAGACATGGTCTGTGCTGGCGAAATATCGCTTGATTCATATTATTATGCCTGTGTGATATCGTAGGTTGGTAGAAAATGTGATGTTAAGTAGTTTTCAATAATTTTTTGGTATTTTTAAACTATTTCCTAAAACCATAATTCAATACAAAAATTTTCTTTGCATTTATACTTTTCAATTCAATTAACACTTGAAAATTGATTTACTTGGTATTACCAATTAAAATTAATGAGAAATAAATTCTTCGGCACAAAATTCCGCCAACCCAAAATTTTGACTAAGTTTGATGTTTCACTTTTTTTGTAATCCGATTTTTATGATTATGATATTAGTTTGTAGGTAAATTTGTTGGCATTATTTTTAGTATTGTAATGGTTTATATATTTCGGTTTGGTGGGTTTATACCAGGTATATGTATTTATTATATTATATATAAAAAAACAACATTTACCCCTGTATAAACCCACCTAACCGAAGAACATAAACTACTAATATAATAAAAAATAATGCGAATAAATTTATCTCCACACTGATACCATAATTATAAAAATTGGATTACAAAATAAAAAGTTATGAAACATCAAACTTTTAAGTAAAATTTAAAAGTAAGTCAAATTTTTAAGGTCGGGAATGTTGTGCCGGGGAGTATAGATTTAACTATTTTATTTTTGTAGAAATGGTATAAAAATAAAGCTCAAAAATCAGTAAAATAAGGAAAACTCGTTCTACAGTCTTTATGACCGAAACAGTAATTACATTAAGAGAACGTGAAACGCGTTTTCCATTGAGAAGCTAAATTATTACTTAATGAGCTGGCGTTGCGCTAATGCCGCTTGTTAAGTACTTAACCTCTCATTGTAAAGCTATCTTAATACTCTTCTTAAGTTATTAAAGAAGTGGTTACTGTTGAATTTATTGTTCTATCCAATTAACAGGCCTATTCGGTAGTATCGAGTTCGTAGGTGCAGACAGATAATAGTCATTTTTATCTAGTTAAGTTTTATTTATACTATTTTTTGTTATCCAAATTTTTACTTATTTATATTTTTTACATAGATGGTTTTATATTGTAACTCGTACGTACTATGACATATGTATAAATTGTAAATATGATTTTTATTAATAAAGTTATTATTATTATGCTTTGGTTTTATTTTGAAAAACAACAAACCTTTTCATTATTGATAAATGTTTTGAAAATAAAGCACAGAAATAAAACTATTATTTCTTATTTATTATACCATCCGATCAAAAAAAGAACAGTGTCAGAGGCGACTGGGGAATAACAATTGGGGATGATAATTTTAGCGATGTCAAGCTCTAGACGTCGTTTACTTGGCCCGTACTTTTCTTTATTTTTTAATCGGGCTTACTGTTAGTGGGCTCTAAGAAGGTTGGAATTTATATTTATATTGAATAAAAATAATTTTTAAATGGTGTAGTTGAAAATTCAAGTTATAAATAATTTTGTGGAAATATATTTTTGTGTATGGAAACGTTCTATTCTTTTTTAATCTTTCTATAGGCTTGGTGCATTCTCCGCCGGTGCTGCCACTGCCCGGGAATATCGTAAATAACGAACACATACAAATACACAGGTTTAAATGGCGAGTAAACGAAAAAATTAGTATATACATAATTATTCTAAAAGGGTTAGAAAGTATAATTTGCGGAAATTCTAAACAAAAAAATAAAAAGGTAAATATTTTAATATCTTCAGAAGGTCTAACTTGCATTATAACCTATTATTCCAGTCAAAAAATTTTTTTAGATGAGTTCAACTACGGTAGCGAGCATATTTTTATCACCGGTTTTGCTAGTGGGGCATAATTGGAGCCTATAACGAAATTTTTTTAAAGGTACATAATTATAATTTTAGAAAATGTTCATAAAATATTTAATCACTAGTTGATTAAACAAGTATACCATTGATATTGTAAATTATATTTCAACCTCTCATAGTATATGTCACTTGTTTCGTCGAACTGCTTCAATTCATTTTTGCTATTGATCAAATCGGTGTAAGAAATTATGAAGCTATAAAATGTTGTTTCGTGAGAGTTGAATATCCGGGAAACTTGAGTTATTGAATGTTATTACACCCAACAACGCCCCAATTACACTCTCCTTTAAGCGTTAACACTTTTTGGGCAATTTTATTCACATTTGAAATTGTCACAACACAAGACGCATAGTTCGAATTCTCTTTCACTTATTTTTTACTACCCGAAACAGCGTTACATCACATAAACCTCGTACCTGAGTGTTTTATAGTCTCAATAACTGCACTAGCAAAAAATAAAATACTCAAATATTATGACAAAACCCTGATTTCAATATTATTTTACTGCGATCGACATGACGGCGCGGCGGCTATATGTTGGTCATATGTTGTTGGTGATGTTGGACTATACAATATCGTCGGCTTTATGACGAAAAGGCATATCTCGATTTTTGGCGATTTTGAGATATCGACGTCATGACATGCCCAATGGGTCATATTTTAATATAGCGAATTTGCGCATCTCAATATTGTACCTTTTTCATGTTATATTCGTTTAAAAAATTGCCCCATCTCAAATATTACAATTCTTCGTTATGACGAAGAGACGTATGTTGAGATAGGGCTCTTTGTTATATTAATATCCTATCCAGCGGATATAACTCAGACTACAAATAACTACAATACCTATGACAAGACTGTTGACTGCTTGTTCCTGGATGGATGTAGGTACTTTATTATTTATAACTTAGAACAGACCAAAGACCAACAGACTTATCCTACACAAGAGACTTATCCTAGTTCAAAAAAACATGTTTCTGATTAAAACCTATGTATTTTAATTAAAATTTGATTTTACATTGTCATTTCCATTTTTAGCAATAAGGTTTCTAAGGTGAACTATAGACTATTATCAAGCTAAAACAGTTTTAGCCGTAATTGAGATTTAATTCAGATCTGTGTCTCCAAATTGCAAATAATATTGTTTTAGTTTAGAAAAAAATGTTTCAGTTTAAATCAAACACAATTTCAAAACACAAAATTCAAAACAAATTCGTTGAAACAATTAAGATGAGAATTAATCTGGCTTTTGTATGGAAAGAGCAAGACATTTGCGAATAAAACCACTCATAAACTTGCCAAACAAAAACAAAATTGCTAAGTTATATTTGCTGATATAGGCAAGTGTTTAGGAATATACATATATGCCGTAAAAAATTATTGAAAATTGAAAATTTATAATGACTTTAGTTGTTTTCGAAAAGATGAGTGAGCCATCAAAAAGAAATCCATGCATTTTATAAATATGAAGCAAATAATTCGCATCATACTGCAAAATATTAGGACATTCCAGAGTGTAATAAGAGAAAAAGAGTAATAGAAAAAGACTGAATATCACTCACTGATTTTCGACATGCCCCAATTAAGTGTAAGAAAACTAGTATGCTAAAATAATCCATTATGTTCCTTCCCTAGTACCTATACAAAGACTAACTGTAACTGATTCGAACATTAGCGTTCTAACGATAGTACTATACTTAATATCGTTCAAAACGCATAAGAAGAATTTAAATTAAACGTATTTGTATTAATTTACGAAGGAATTGAGCGAAGAAAGTACAATACGCGGCTCATTTTGGACTAATGATGTTAATATTTATAAAGATAAATTAAAAAATATTGTAATGCGTTTTTATTAAAAAAAAGTAACTGAGATCTCCTATAATAAATTAAAATTCTCAGTAAATTTATTCCAATAATTAAATTCAATTTCAAATATTTAATGTGTGTATTGGTCGAGTAAAAAAAAATAAGAAAATATTCTTGTCTTATTAAATTTGATTAATAAGACAAGAAATTAATTTTGTCTAAATAAATAAATTCTGGTACAAAAATTGTTCCCAGTATAGAAGAGTTCAAATATGGAACAAGTATGTCATTAGTAGGACCTGAAACGGCATTTAATGTTATAAAAGACTGCTGAAAGCCCAGCTTAGGAAATGGGTAAGGACAAAGTGTTCCAGGTATGGAACGACAGTCCTGAATATGTCAAAATTATCTATCTTGTATTGTATTGTATTTGACTAAGAGTGGGTCCCATAGGGGACCCTCCACTGAGGCCGCGAGGGCCTATTGTGGCTCAGTTTCTACAAGCTCTAATTTACAAGAGCGTCAAAGTTCATCCTCAAGACCCAGCCTCTTAATATAGGCCGTTATGTCTGAGGGCGATATGTCTCCTAGGTCTGATAGGTCTAGCATGGGTTTGCCAAACATCTCAAACCTGGTCCTGCTCCCAGCGGGGCAGGTACACATAACGTGCTTCATTGTTTCATCATCTTCCATACAGAGTCGGCATTCGGCGTCTTCCACCAGTCCCGTCCTCTGTAGGTGAGATCTCAGCCGGCAGTGGCCCGTGTACACTGCAGTGAGCACACGCGTTCCATTCCTACCGGCCTTTAGGAGTTCTCCTGTTCTACGTTTGGATGGCCCTGCTAGGATTTTCTTGGCATGCTCCATTCCGGGACTGTCATTCCAGTCTCGGAATGTCTCAAACCCATTCACAGAGCCTGTCTCTTGCGAGATTTTTGGGTACGCTAAGTGTCGGTTCTGGGCCCACGAATGGCGAGCCTGCACCAATTTTGGCGAGGGAATCAGCACGTTCATTTCCCTCTAGGCCGACATGTCCCGGTATCCATATTAGCGACACTTTGTTCCTATCTCCCAGTATATTGAGTAGTTTCTTACAATGAAGAATCGTCATCGACGTGCTTTTCGTTGCCTCAAGTGCTTTCAGCGCAGCTTGACTATCCGAAAATATGCATATCTATCTTGGCAGAACCATACAAATCCAGAATCAAAGAACTTAGGAACGAAATTCTAGCAGTAATAGAGCGAATGTGCTAACTGACACTGCAAGGGTACTTACCTACTTAGAGGTGATGATCAGGATGGAAAGGTGACTGTGATGAAAGATGCCGAAAGTTGACTCCGCATATCGATACATTGGCGTTAAAAGTTTTGCAAAAACTGCTATCCATAAATTTAAAGAACTATAGATATTTTTGTATATCGATATATTCCATACATCCTACACTGCACCAGAATGCGTTTGCAAATGATGATCTCACAGTGCATCATTCCAATTTCTCTATTTTTTCTATAAAAGCGGCTATTTGTCTTCTTCAAACAATCGCATCAGAGCAATTTTTCAACATCCGCTAACAAGTTCTAGCTACGTGCTTCGCGTTTCAACTCAACACTTCTAGTTCAAGGTGAGGCAGGTATCTGTGCTTGTGCTCCAGCCGACATTTCACAGTTTCCATATACGAATCGCGGCTTAATGCCTAAAAATACTTTTACGCATATTTAAGGCAGGAATTCGTTTTACACATTCTCCATGAAATGTGTCTAGTTTTTAAGGAAGATAAATGATATATTTGATGAAGAGCTTATCACACTGTCGACTTTAATTAATGTATCTTCCTTTTTAGTGTTTACAAAATAGATCTACGACATATTTTACAGCTTAGGTTTTAAATAAACTACCTTTTCTGATATATTAAAATTTAACTGATCTGTTGATGTTAATTAATAGAGGAGAAATTAGTATGAGGTTAATATTAAATAACATTGGCTGAGTTATTAATTTAGACAAAATGCTTAAAACATACAAGCAAATGAATTTTTAAGAATGGGAAAAATTGACATGTAAATATTTTAAAAACTGTTGAATATAGGTATATCGGGTTGGTATTTCTGGCCTTGGATGCTGATTTTCGTGTGTACGAAGAGTACTGATTTGCCGTTTTAACTTGCAAATTGCAGTGCCTAGTGTTGATAGTAACTCTGCTATAAAAATATTCCCAGAAATAAGGATAATGTAATCTGAATATTTATTGATTCGAATTTTTTGTGCTGAAATGTTCTCAAAATAATTTTCATCGAGAATAATAAGGAAAAAACAGGAAAAATCAGAATCGATCTAAAATAAGCAACTGATTAGTTTTCCTTGAAAGGTTTTTTGGCTGGAAGATCTGGATTACGTAGATCTGGATCTATGCATATTTTCCCCCTCCTATTTGGATATGTCTAT